CCCCAAAACCCCAAAACCCCAAAACCCCAAAACCCCAAAACCCCAAATTTTAAACACAAAATTGAAGAAAATTTATAAATAATATTACTAAACCATGAAGGTCTTACCTATCCTGATAGCTGCAGGAGTACTAACTGCTGCTTACTTTACACTATCAAGTTCTACTGTTGATGAACTTGACTTACAGTTCACCCAGTTCACCACTCAGTTTGATAAGAATTATCAAAGTGAAGATGAATACAACTTTAGAAGAAGCATTTTCGAGAAGAATCTTAAGGTTATCAATGAGCACAACGCTGAAGGAAAGTCATGGACTTTGGGAACCAATGAGTTCACTGACTGGACTGATGAAGAGTACAAGAAACTTCTTGGATTAAAGAGCACTGTCTCTGCAACTGCTCAAAGTGAGAAGATCGGAATGCTCCCAACCAACTGTAAAAAGATGCCAAGAAAAGGAATTGACTACAGAGGAACTAACAGAGTTGGTAGAGTTGTAAGCCAAGGATCCTGTGGATCATGTTGGGCTTTCGCAGCCACCGCTGCTTTGGAAGCTGCTTATGCTAAGGAGCATGGAGAATTCGTCAAATTCTCTGAACAACACATTGTTGACTGTGATAAATTCTCTCACGGATGTAACGGAGGTTTGATGGCTAATGGATTCATCCACTGGATGAGACACGCTCCAATTCTTGAAAAGGATTACGAATACACTGCTAAGGATGGAAAATGTAAGGAAGATTCTATCGATACTGAATTCGATGTTCTCCCATTCGGATACAGAGTTGATGTAACCCACGAGTGCCTCTATGAAGCTTTGACCCACAACGTTGTTGCTGTCTCTATCAGAGCTGAAAACGATAAATTCAGACACTACGAAAGTGGAGTTATTGATGTTGAAGATGACTGCGGAACTGAAATCGATCACGGAGTCACTCTTGTTGGATATGATGAAGACGAAGATGCCTGGATTGTCAGAAACTCTTGGGGACTCTCCTGGGGAGAAGAAGGATATGTCAAGATCAGAAGAGGTGAGGATTACGGAGTCTGTGGTATCAACCAACAGAACGCCCAAGCCGTCTATGATCATTCTGAATACTAATTGCTGTAACCCCCTTGTAATAAAACTCTCTGCCACTACCCTTTTTCTGTTTGTTACAATAGATTTGGGATAATTAGACTTCTTCATTCGGATTTAAATTTTTAGAGATGTGGATACTTATTCCTAGCCTCATAGTGAAATCATCAATCACCTAGTTTTGCACGGGGTTTTGGGGTTTTGGGGTTTTGGGGTTTTGGGG